GTCAAAGTCAAGTCAAAGTCGACACATATAATGAAGGATACCGCCAGGAACAAGTAAAACTACTTAAGTAAGGGATGGCAATCTGGCATATAAACAACCTCGTTCCCATTGCCCTCTCTGTAGCTATTTTCAAAATGGCGGACGCTACAGCGAAGACCCTGGCACTGAACTAAGGCGCTTTGTGATTGGCTGATGAAGACGCCATTCTTATACCGCTTGCCATTGGCTGTTTATTTTTAAGCTATGTTCGGCTTCAATCGGGGTTTGTTCGACCAGACTCGACCGTTATTTTGAATGCGTCCAATTTTCCGAAGAGTTTTAATGTCCGCCTTTTATTGATCAAAAGGCAATACTACTGCCTCAAATTCATGTCAGTTGTCTTTTCGTGTGTTCTTTATCTCATACATGAATAAAACCCGGCCGATATATTTACTAAGCCAAAGCGTTGATGTTTTGGAAGTCTTCGACTACTCGGGCCTTTAATCTACAGCCGCATTCTCCTTCCAAGAATCTCTGAGGACTTCTAGAATGAACTGAAACTACTCCTTTTACTTATATTGCCGATTGAATGGAAATTATGAAATAAACAATTAAGTTTAAATGTTTTTGTTCAGTCAGATAAACAAAATGTCGACCCACCACAGCTAGCCCAATTAAAAACGTTGGCTTTACGTTGCGAACGCATTTTTGAATAGATTGACACGTGATCAAATACTCCATGAATTTTGGAGTATTTGATCACGTGATAATCAGTGTTTGCCAGGGTCTTCGCTGTAGCGTCCGCCATTTTGAAGTCAGTTAGACCTTGTTCCGGAGATCATGTCATGTAGTCTGCGATTGCATGTTGTTAATTTTGGCTTTAAAATGACTCTCAAACCTTAATTAAGTAAAAATGAATGAATTGAACTTCACTAGCATTAAAAGATCGACATAAAGTGCCACAGGGAGACCAACAGAAAAATGAACGCTCAAACAAATTGTTTATTTATCACTTATAATATTGAATAATACCATAATCACATCGTATCCTACTCATTCCTAGGAATGCGAAATTTATAAAACAAAGACCTTTGTCATGTTATAACAACGTAAATAGTAGAAGAAGAAGGTTGATTACAATACAAAGATAAAGCTGAAATTGCAATAAATTCAATTTGCATATATTATATAATATAAACAACGTGTAACGACTAATAATATATAATTTATGCAAAATTGTCGGCTACACTTAGAATATT